AGGTCTAGTAATTGATTATGTTATTTACGTTATTTTATCCGCATCCAATTAAAATACCAAGCCAAGAAATAGGGGCATGTTGCAATGATCAAAAGGACCAAGAAAGAAATGACATTTTGGTGGCCGAAACCTTAGAAAATAGGAAGCCAACCTGAAGCCAACTCATCAACTTGGATATTTGTCAAAGAGCTACAACTCTGAAACCATTAAAGAGCTATTGATTCTTTTGATTTTATGTGAACTAATGTTTATGATTTGATTCGATTGTGAGCCAGAATTAAGGGGCAATGTTTTATAAAATTCTTATATTCTCATATTCTTTGATTTCTAAAATAAAAGAAAAGAAAAAAACATTTTCAAACATGATAGTCTCAAATGTGAAAGGTCATTAAAGTTGGTGAGGCTCATTTTGCCTCTATTAAAGAAAGAATAAACAATGCCAGAATAATTGAGCATTTCATATTCTTGAAAGAAAATAGCTCGAGAGGCTAGATAGAACTTGTAACACTCCCTTGCGACATTGTCAGCAACCTGAGAAGAAAATTAGGCATAATCGATTCCAAGGACAAGACCAGCGGACAAAAATGAGGCTCAATCCAGGAGATAAAACAAGAACTAATTCATGTTGCATACATCTTAGACATACTTAAGAGTATCACATTTATCATTTTTCACATACATAATTTTTTTAGCTTTAGAGTCAGGTTTCAGCTTTAAGACGAAAGATACTCGATTAAAAAAATGCCCTCAAAAAATTGATAGTGGTTGCTTAACTCAGCGGTGAGGAGCTACACCTCAACCAACTTGATCTATTGAAAGATCGACAGATCTTACAATGAACTTCATACGGGTTCGAGAGCCAATTCAAGATGGATCCAGTTCAACTTAACTCAACGACGAGTGGCTAGTTTCCAGTTAACGTTTTCAAGCCAGATTTCAACTCCACGATGGATGATATCTGGCTGACAGAATATACCACTTGGCTTTCCCGTGAAGAGGAGTCATCTAAAGAATTAAGATTGGCTTAGACTCGCAAAGGGGGGCCATCCTTTATTTAGAGGAAATTTACAGCATAGTTTAACTCGAGAAAAAATGTCTGTCAACAAATAACTTTCCAGTTCAGATTTCGAGCTAGATTTCAACTTCACAGCGAAAGATATTGAACTCGAAACGACGCAACTTATACAAGATTGGATTTCAACTTTACAACGAAGGATATCAAACCCAAAGCCAAGACAAAGCACTATAACTCGAGATTGGATTTTAATGTCACAATGAATGACATCCAATTCAAAGCTCAACTTCACAACGAAGGAGCCATCCACGATTTCAACTTCAACAAGAAGGATATTGTGCCCAAATGGATTGACTGATTGGATTTCAACTTCACAATGAAGGATATCAAACCCAAAGCCAATTTGGCGAAGCACTACAACTCGAGATTGGATTTCAATTTCACAACAAAGGACATCCAATTCAAAGATCAACTTCACAATGAAGGAGCCATCCACGATTTCAACTTCACGAAGAAGGATATCATGCCTAAATGGATTGATTGATTGGATTTCAACTTCACAACGAAGATTGTCCAACGAAGGATATCAAACCCAAAGCCAATTTGACGAAGCACTACAACTCGAGATTGGATTTCAATTTCACAACAAAGGACATCCAATTCAAAGATCAACTTCACAATGAAGGAGCCATCCACGATTTCAACTTCACGAAGAAGGATATCATGCCTAAATGGATTGATTGATTGGATTTCAACTTCACAACAAAGATTATCCAACCCAAAGCCAATTTGGCGAAGCACTACAACTCGATATTGGATTTCAACTTCACAATGAAGGACATCCAATTCAATGCTCAACTTCACAACGAAAGAGTTATTTACGATTTCAACTTTACAAAGAAGGATATCGTGCCCAAATGGATTGACTTAAGTTTCACAACAAATGAGTCATTTGCAATAATAGGGGGTTATCTCCCAGCCTATTATAGCATATCTTAAGGTGAGAAGGGTTATCTGTCGACAAAAACTTTTGAGTTCGATTCCATTCAGCTCGATGGCATATCAACCGCATGGTAGCAGCGAGGAACTACTTTCTGGTTGAAGCTTAAACTGAGGTCTTTAAGTCAAGAAGAAGCCCTAGGTTGGTTGTGCTTTAGCAACAATGAACTATATCCCAGTCGAATTCATAGCATAACTCAAGGCAAGAAGGGCTATCTGTCAACAAAAACCTTCGAGTTCGATTCCTTTCAGCTAGAGTGCATATCAACCACATGGTAGCATCGATGAACTACTTTTCGGTCGAATTTTCAAAATGAGGTCTATAAACCGAGAATAATACCAAGGCTGACTACAATCTGGCAACAAGAAGCCACTTTCCGATTCAAATTCCGAACTAAATAAGGATATCATTTAAAGACTGACTCAACTTCGCGACGGATGAGTCATCCGCAACTCAATTTAACAAGGAGTTATTCCTAATTGCAATATCATAGTCAATTTTCAATTCCACAAGGGAGGATATTAGACTCAGGGACCACTTAATACCGAACGAAAACTTGTGTCATTTTATTTTTGTCATATTTTTCGTTACACAAAAAATGACAAAGAGGGGCAGCTGTAGACACTTATTTTCGTTCGGAGTTTTTTTATATATATTAATATAGTATAGTTTTTGAAAATATTTTTGAAAAAAATATAATATATAGTTTTTAAAAAATGGTTTAAAAAACATATAATATATACTTTTTTTAAAAATTGGTTTTTGAAAATATATATTATATAGTTTTGAAAATGGTTTTTGAAAATATATATTATATAGTTTTGAAAATGATTTTTGAATATATATATTATATAGTTTTGAAAACAATTTTTGAAGATATATATATTATATAGTTTTGAAACAATTTTTAAAAATATATATTATATAGTTTTGAAAACAATTTTTGAAAATATATATTATATAGTTTTGAAAATATATATAATATATAGTTTTGAAAATATTTTTGAAATATATATAATATATAGTTTTATAACTTTTTTTTCAAAAATATTAGTTTTTAAGAAAATATTTTTTAGAACACATTTTCTATTATATAGTTTTATTTATATTATATTTGTTTCTTTTATTTATTTATTTTGTTTCTTTATTTTGTTTCTTTTCTTTTTTAGGCCCCATAAAGGGTGTAAAACCGGGTCTAGCAAAATCCAATCAGGTAAAAGGGCCTGACCCATCCCATACCCGATTAGGGTTTTTAGGTTTAGCAATGGCGCCGCACATATGGCGCGTGGAAGTCACGCGCAAATCGTAGAAATCAGAGGCCAACGACCGGCGGAGATCGGGACTGAACCATCCCAAAAATCTCGGTCGAACAGCATGCAGAATCGAAGTGATTATCTCAACAAAACATGAACAACCCACAAACCCCACTCATTTCGAGACTCAAAACGGCCAAACTCGGGGTTATAAAATGCCACCGGTGAGGCCAAGGAGAGAGGATCAAAAACCAACAATCGAAGAGCAACCATAATCATCAAGGAATCAACCAAGCAAAGAAAAATAGCAAGTGATATACCAAATCCACAAAAGAAAAAAAAACAGAAACCTAAGTTTTTGTTTTTGGTCGAAACTGAAAGCAACCCCTCCAACATCGAAATAGAAAACCATAAAGCGTTCACGGGAAAAAAGACAAGTGCAACATTGGTCATCGGCGGAACTTGAAGTGGTCACCGAGAAAACAAACACTCTGAACAAAGGTAAAAAAACCCGTAACTTTTAGGCTAGATTTACTCCGATCTAAAGGTTGTCTCGTTGTTTCGATGCTAAATTCAGTGTTGGGGGTCGAGAGGAAGCTTGTGGGTAAGTTTGGGTTTTTCGACCACCAGTGGTGGTGGCCGGCGCGGCGGCTGGAGGCGGTGGGATGCCATGGGGGGGGCGGTTGGCCATTAGTCGGATGGGAAAAAGGAGAGGATTTAAGAGTGTTTTGTTTGAGAGAATTTTTTTGGGTTTGTGATAAAATGATTTTTTTTTAGTTTTTGGGGTATATATAGCTGAGGGACTAGAGTGTAAATAAAAAATAATTTAATCATTTCTACGGTCCCTATAACTTTGAAGTATAATTCATTTTGGTCACCTATTGTGAATTGACTCTAAAATTTTGAATTAATTCAGTTTAGTTCCCGTTTATATTTCTTATATTTTGCAAATTGATCTCCTAACTTTCATTTTTCCCTTTGTAGCTTTCAATTAACATCAATTCGATTCTTAAATTTTAATTCTTTCCAATTTAATCCTTTTAATTTGAATTTTCTTTTATTCCTTTTATTTACTTATTTTTTTAATTTTATTTCGATCTTAATACTAACTCTTTGTTTTTGTTTGTTTTATTTTTTAACTTTAGTTTTGATCTTTTTAGGATAATTTTAATTGATCTAAAGGTAAGTAATTCAAATCGAATCTGTAATTTTTAATTTTAATTTTAATTTTTGCAATTAAGACAACCAATAAATTGAAAAGGTATCGAAAGGGCAGTTCAAGGGTGTTAATACTTCCTTGCTGTAATCGACTCCCGAAACGCGAATCAGGTAAGATGGTGTCCGATCAACCAATTTTTCATAAAAAAAAATGACCAGTGATGGCTCTAACATTTTATTAAATTCGAAGCCAAATTCCAGGCCCACCAAAAGACGGTTGCGATATATATATATATATATATATATATATATATATATATATATATATATTAGTTTTACACAGATTTAAGACCGTAGGAATAAGTGAAAATAGATAAATGAGACTGAAGAATAATCGAACCATTAAAAATTTGTTGAAGAATAATAACAATATACAAACAAATCTAAATAATCTAAACAAAACAATGAAACAATGCTACATAAATAATAGAATGAATCCACTATTCTCTGAGTCAAAATTTGTAAAAGAAGACTGCATCATGTCTGCTGGTAAACTTCTGGATCCGAGTGTTGCTCATATGGAACAGAGGGCAGCACTTGTTCCATCCAGCCCCACTCCTCTAATTGTTTCATAATAACCAAACGCATTGTCCCCAAAGCTATTCTGTCTTAGCCATACATCCCTGAGAGACCAACCACAGACCCATAACTGGGGACTAAGAGGAAATATCAATACCATCATGCACCAGAACCTCCAGCATTTAAGAATGGATGAGTTATTCGGGTGGTGGCATCTCGAAGATGATGCGACTGAGGGTCTATTCGTGTTGCGCGTGATTTGGTTACGAAAACCTGAACCGGTATCAGACTCAGAGATCAAAGGCAGAGAAACAGTGATCGGATGAAGCACCATTGGAGCTGTTTGTGAGATATGGAAACTGAAATCTGAAATCAATGAAACAATGAATTAGTTTATATTTAGGTAAACTACACAAATAGTCCCCTTACTATAGGGCACTTCTTTATTGAGTACTATGACTATTAAAAGTTACAAAATGATCACCGACTATAAGTTGCTATTTTATTGAGTCTCTGACTATTAAAAGTTACAAAATAATGAACCAACTATTCCTATGTTCCAAGATTATAAGTTTCTGTTAAAAAATTAATGACCGTTTGAGTTTTCAAACATTGATTTGACGACATAATATTTCAAGCATTGACTCGATGACAAAATATAAACAGAGACTTGTTCTACAAAATACAACTCAAACAATTTTGGGATAAAATTTTATTATATCCCAGTGAGCAAGTTAACATCAAACTCATACTACCATCAAATTTTTAACAGGAAAATACGAGTTTGGAACATATGAATAGTCAAATGACTATTTTATAACTTTTAATGGTCAAAGGACTCAACTAAGCAACACCTTATAATCAGAGAATCATTTTGAAACTTTCAATAATCAAGAAACTCAACAAAGTAACATCCTATAATTGAGAGACTCCACAAAATAATATTTATGGTCGGGATCATTTGTATACTTTAACTTTTATGTTTATAGTGATTTATTAATAAAGATGTCCCTAAAACTATGACAACGGGGCAATGTAATAGTATCCCACCTCTTCTTAACACGGAACAATATCACCGTTGACTTGATGTCATCCTGCGATCCCTGTATCATGAACTGGATTTCCATCTTCACTGGGGACGACTTATCCTTTCTTTTTTCATTACCAGCCTGAAATGAAACATTAAGACTTATCTTCAACGGGAATGAACCTCAAGAAAACAAAAAAGCTTGACAAAATAGAATAAACTTACCCATAGTGAAGCCCAGCATAAACGAACCTCTGAATCATAGCCTGCTTTGAATTTCATGTCTTTGTCATACGTGTGCTTGTACACGGCACTCCAATAGTTTGTATCAATATTGTACCAGTAGCTGCACATAAGTACAATTCGCCGCTTCAATCAACTCTGTATCTCATGAATCTCTATCATGCACAACAAAAGGAACGGTACATCTAGGCCTATAAAAGAACTAAATGATAATATGTTCATGTTGGTTCGTTTAATTTTAACCGAACTAACAAACAAATATGAACAACTAAACAAACATATTTTTTTGTTTGTGTTCGTTCGTTAAGGAATGTAGCTTGTTCGTGTTCGTTCATGTTCGTTCGTTAAAATGATAAACAAACAAACACAAATGAACATATATGAACATAAACAAATGAACATAAAATGTAACATTCTTTTCAATCAAGCAAAAATTCTTACAAGTATAAATAAACGAAGATAAATATAAATTTAATTAAACGAATGAATATAAATGAATGGATTACCGAACGCAAATGAACATAAACACACGGATTATTGAACGTTCATGAACATAAATGAAAGAACGAGCTCTTTGTTCGTGTTCGTTCATTTCATTAAACGAACATAAAATCTTGTTTATATTCGTTCATTTAATAAATAAACAAACATAAGCGAACTTCCCGTCGAACGGTTCATTGAACGTTCGGTTCGTTTACAACCCTAATTACAAATAGCCCATTGTGCACATATAATTCCATGAGAAATTCCATCCAATATTTACAAAGATAAGGAGTGCTATGTACTAACCTGAATTTATCCGATGGACTGAAACGTCGCTTGAACGCAAACGATGCACTATTTGTTGGCAGTGAAATGCTAGGAGTAAATGACATTGTCCCATCCTGCAATCATAGAACCATCAAAACTATCTACTAAAGCACTCAGAAAGCTCGAAAATTTACACCTCCATAATCATTCCAATCCAGAATATTCACCTCAGTCAATTTTGAAACCTAGCCATCTATGTTGTTCAACAATAAATGTACCAGTTGATCTCCCATGGAAGGCAAAATAGCCTATCACTGAACAAGTAAATAAACAGGACTAAAAGCACAAAACTATAACATTTAGGGAAAAACCACCTTATATGAGTATCTTAGTTTCAATTCTTCATCCTTGTAACGTGCAGTGCCAACTCCTTTCAAAATTGGACCTTTAACAATTCCATTTAATGACAACTTGGGCACATCATCCTCTTCCCTCTCCTCTAATGAAACTTCTCCCATGGGAAATCTAAATGTCGCTTTGGGCTATACAGCAACAGGAAAATTCAGATGATTAGAGAGGAAAAAACAACTATGACCCACGTTTAAATATATTGGAGTGGAAGCATAAAAATGCAATAACATTGGCATTAATCAAGTTTTTTAAGTGACGCAAAAGGAAAATAACACAGATATAATGCAACTCAAAATCACAAATATTGGCTGAAAGTGAATACTTCATTGACTGATATATGGTCCTGAACTACATGTTAATTGATTCATTTGCACTAGTAAAACACTAGGAAAAACGGTGCTCACCAACGAAATATCCGGAATTGGTGACGACACTTCAACAGCATAGCTGGGATCAGCAAATTTTGCAATTACTGCCACTTCACCTTGTTGTGCCTGAGAACATATATGAGAGATACTCAGGGGTAGCAGGAAATATTCATTCAGCACAATGTAAAAAATGGCGCAGGGCCCACTAAGGCAGTAAGGGTCCTATAGCCTAGCCTGCCTAGGTACAAGGCGCAGGCGTGAGGTACGTGCCTTAATGAAGTGAGACGCACTTTTTGAAGTTAAAGAATCATTTGGTAATATGCATATATAACTTACTAAAATAGACGATTAAACCATATAATAGTTCAACAAAAGCTCTCAATTTCATTAATTACCTTTAACTTTGCTTTCAAAAAGCAAATAACATCACATTTTATCATGCAATAGGAAGCATATATAGTGTAAATAAACAAAGCTAGCAATATATTTCAGCTTTTGAACAACAATTGTGATAATATTGGCTTCCCCTTCCCGAAAGTACATCATTATAAATTTTAGGTATTGAAGCCTCAAAGTAAGAATACCAACTTAACAATTTTATGAAAAACAGAGTTCTGTGAAACACAGTCACCTACCTTATCAAATAATCAAAACCCATCACCAGCAACAAAGCAGGCACTTGAATTTTTTTCTTAAAAACCAAATAAACAATCTCTTATATCTTCAATGCACAGCGAGAAGGGATAAATAACAGGGTCTCTTTTAATTCCATCAAAATTTCGTTGACATAGTCACTCCAAGCAGAGATGGACTAGGAGTACTATATTTTAGATTTTTTCAGTGTATTTTCTATTCATGATCTGTTTTCGTAAAATTTTACCCTTTACCTAGGGAAAAGGTGTGTAGGGAGAAAACCAACCTTGAAATCAAGGGCGGCTTTCAAATGCCAGGTGGGATTCACATCGTAGGAGCCCTGCAATACAGCGTTCTGTTCTTCAGGGTCGTAGTAGACGGACAATTGCTTGGAGAACAAGGCCAGCTGTGGCTCCGTGATCTCGCGTTTGCAGTTGTTGATGAAGGAGAGCTTGATCTTGGCGAGGTTGTCGAACAGCTTACAGGACAGCTTGTGGAAGAATACGCGGCTATCACTGTCGAACTCCGAAGTCACTCTGAGGGAGGATAGCGAAGACAGAAAGTGGTCGGGCTTCGTTGGCGGCGGAGACGGTGGCTCAGGCTCCGGCTCGATCGGCGACGGTGGCGGTAACAGCGGAGGGACCAGGTAATTGGGGATTCGAGGAAATGGTTTCAGCATTGCTGATATTGGAATGGGAGGAAATGGAATTTCGCGATTCAGAGTTCGAGAGGCGAAGCTTACTCTTCTTCAACCTTGTGCCTTTGGCTTTTGCTTTGATTGGAAATTGGGAAATTCGGGGATTCCGGGGGGGGGGGGGAGGGGGGAGAGAGAGCGCTTTTGGATACTTGTGGGACCCTTTTATTTGGCCGTTATTTCGGTTGGTTCAATTTTCCACATTTCTTATTACTACTACTTCTTTTGGCCTTGCAAAATAATAAAATCATTTTATCTAAATAACATTTCCACTATTAGATTCTACTGATTAAGGCGAATTTCCCAAAAAAATCACGGTTTTTATTTTTCTGTTAGACATCTATGTAGGTTTATTTCCTGATCTAACACCTTTTGTAGAAAGACACGGTCCATACACCGCGCCTTATGACACATGGCGTTATGTGTCGAAAGGCGCAGTGCATGGGGTGAATCTTTATGCAATAGGTGTTATATCTGTAATAATTTTTGAAATGGTCTGACAGGTAATTAATTTTTTTTAAGGTGATATTTGTGTAAAAACGCCACGAAATATTAAACAATTAGCTAATCAATTATTATATAATAAAATTAAGTACTATGACCATAAATTATTAAAATAATGACTCAATTATCAAAATAAAATGAATTAAAAAATATTATAATAATTGTTTTTGAAAAATCAATGATGAAAAAAAATATTTGGTATAATTATAACTCATGTATTTTCAATTATTATATTAAAAATAAATTATAAATTATGATAAAATACTTTTCGTTATTATCATCATCGACCAATTAATGGAGTATATATATGAGTTATAATTCAAATTAGTCATTTATTCTGCTATTATTCAAATTAATTAAGAAAATTTATGGTAAAATGTTTATAAAAGAAAAGTATAAATACATATATGAAAATCTAAAGATTTTTCTTTGTTTTGTATTACTCTCTAAACTTGTACCAAAATTCAATAAAAAAAGGTAAAGTTAAAAATATCACTTATATATTTAAAATATTCTTTTTAATATTAATTTTAAAAAATATAAAATAAATATTAAATTATAATTTTATTAAAAATGTATACACGTTATTAACTATTGTTAAAAATAATAATTAATGAATAATAATTCATTTGATCCATCGATTGTAATTAAAATTTTATTTTAATATTTTTTATATTTTTAAACAATTAATTTTATAAGTTAAGAATTTTTTCAAAAATATATGAAATTTAAATTTTAAATTTTAAATTATAAAATATTTATTATTATTATTATTATTATTATCATCATCATTATTTTGAAAAAGAAATACTAGTTATAAAACTTTTATAAAATTATTCATATTTTAAATTACTTACCTCAAAGTTTTCCTAGATTAAACTATGAGAAAGTGCTAAAAAGGCATGAGAAAATGTCAAATGGTAATTGGTAGATATAATTGTATTATTTAATTTCATGCAAAAACCAAAATTTTTTGAGTTATAAAATAATTTACAAAAGCATATTTACAGATTTTAATACAGTAAATTTTTAAAAAAAATTGATGTTTTTGTAGACACTCATTTTCGTCCCATTTTTTTTCTACATATATATATATACAGTATATAGTTTGAAAACATTTTTAAAATATATATAATATATAATTTTGAAAAGCATGTTTGAAAACATTTATATATTATATAGTTCTTAAGACATTTTGAAAATTAATATAATATATAGTTTTCAAAACATTTTTGAATATATATATATTATATAGTTTTTAAAAACATTTTGAAAATTAATATAATATATAGTTTTTAAAACATTTTTGAAAATACATATTATATAGTTTTTAAAACATTTTAAAAATATATATAGTTTTTTAAAAAACATTTTGAAAACATAAATATATTATATAGTTTTTGAAATCATTTTGAAAACATATATAGTTTTAAAAACATTTTTGAAAACTATATAATTTTGAAAACATGTTTAAAAAGTATATAATATATAATTTTAAAATATTTTTAAAAGTATATATTATATAGGTTTTGGAAAATATTTTATATATATATATATATATATATATATATATATATATATATAATATTATTTTTTCCCTTTTCTCTGTTTTATTATTATTAATTTCATTTTTTATTTTGGTTTTTAGAGTCCAAACGGGGTCCAATCTGTCCAAGTCCAGGGTCCAACATTGGGTCTGATCTAGCCCGGTTACGTTTAGGGTTTTCAAAAGCCTAACATCAGCCTTGTCACAGTGCCACATAGGAGGTTCCAGAAGCATGGAGCCAAGCAGTCAACGCCCAGCGCACATTCCGGCCGCACCAACGGGACTGAACCATCCCGAGGCGGCCGATACCATGAACTGGAAGATCGGAACAAGCAACAACCCACATCCCGTTATTTTCGGGAGCCAAACAACCAACACCGGGGCTATAAAAAGCCCCCGGTGAGGCCGACGGAAAGGGGGGATCACAGAACACGCATCAACATAAGCCATATACGAAACATCACAGTAAACCGAGAACCAACAGGGAGAAAAAACAGAACTATCGAGCAACAATACACTCAAAAGGCCAACTACGAACGAGCCAAACACAAACCATCAAACCAGTCTATCAAAGCAAGATAACAGTACCCACGACGAACATCATAACACCACAACATCAACACAGCATCAACAGTATCAATAAACCCAAAAACAGTACAGCCAACAAATCGAAACCAACACAGCCACACAAAAAACCGAAGCAAAATACAGATACATCAACAGAAACGAAAAGGCCGAAGCCTTTCTCATTAAGAACGACACGAGAAGAAAGGACCATCGGAACCTGAAGTGTCACCGGCGGAAAAGGTAAAAAAGGCCCGAAGTTTGTTTCCTAGATCTACGTCGGTGGGGGCATTATTTGGGTGTTTGGGCCTCGGTTTCGGGTGAGAGAGGTTGAGAGGAAGCTTTGGGTTTTTTTTTTCGGCGGTGGCCGGCGGCGGCCGGGAATCGCCTGGGTGGAGAGTGTCTCTCGTTTTTGAGAGATGTGTTTTTTGGAATTAGAGAAATGAAACGAAGGTGGGCGTTTTAGGCTATTTATATACCAGGGACTGTCTTGTAATTAGAAGATAGTTTAATCCTCTCCGTCGTCCCCCAAGGTTTGAAGTGCATTTCATTTCAGTCACCATATGCAATTTGGCCACAAAATTTTCAATTGATTCAATTTGGTCCCCATTTATATTTTACATTCTTTGCAATTTAACCCCTAATTTCTTATTTTACGTTATTATCATCATTTTTAAATTATTATTAGTATTATTTATTTTTACTTCATATCGTTTCCATTTTATTACTGTTAAAATATTATTTTTTTGGGCCTTTTTATTTTTATTTACTTATTTTTCTATCTAACATTATTTTCTTATTTTTTTAGTAGTAATCTCAATCGGTCAAAGGTAAGTAATTCGAATCGGATATTTTAAATTTTAAATTTATTAACTTTCGCAAATGAAGACAACCGAAAAATTAATTGGTACCGAAAGGGCGGTTCAAGGGTGCTAATCCTTCCTTGACCGTAACTGACTCCCGAACCCGACACGTTTCTGGTACGACGCATATCAGGTAAGATGGTGTCCGGCCCACCTAAACTCATTTTAAAGTGGTCGGTGGCGACTCCTAACCATTTTATTCAAGTCGAAGCCCAATTCCGGGGCCCAACCGAAAGACGGTTCCGACAGCTTGGCGACTCCGCTGGGGATAGGTAAGTGAGTCAGGCCGAAATTAATTTTCGGTTGTCTTTTTATGCGAAAATGGTAAATTTAAATTTAAATTTATTTATTCGATTCTAGTTATTTACCTTTGATTATTTTTCAAATAAATAGTTGTATTAATATTTTTTTAATGATTTCAGATTTTTCAAAGTTTTCATCTCAGGCTCTATACCCGAGCTCCGAACCCTTTTAAGTGGGGGCGAAAGCGACGCCTTCGTGTGAATTTATTCACCGTATGGGCCTAGCAAGTAACCTTCGGGATTCATATACCTTATGCCTCGTGTGAATTTATTCTCCGTATGGGCATAAGGGAATGTTTCCTCTCGAGTTTAACTTAGTCTACATAAGCTTGTAATGGGCTTAGGACTAAGGGTCTGGCAAGCCCAAGGGGGCACCGGCAAGGAGAACTCGAGTACCGTTTTTTAGAACCTAAACCGGGAGAGTGCAGGGAATTAGAGCCCACCCCAAAACCTCATTCCAAACCTTAGGCTATTTTATTTCCTACTTTATTTTCTGCTCAAAAGCATGCGAACTAGACAAATATGCGGTTAGGATTTGTGTGAAATTAGCATGCGGGATAGAGATCATGTCCGGGTAGGAATTAAAGCATGTGGGGTAGATATCATGTGGGGTAGGATTTTTTTATTTTTATTATTGTTTTGATTTACCTCACTAACTCTTTTATTTTTTGTTTTCTTTTATTCTGTTTTCATCATTCGCATCATTTAAAACGGGGTGTTGATCCACCAAAAAATGTGTTTGTTAAACATGAATAATCAGCATTAATGGACAAAAGGGTTGTAATACAAGAGATGAAAATGCAGAAGACAGTCTACAAGGCGACTATGTGTCACCTTCAATCCAGAGGATGTGGTGCCCGCAATTGAAGAGTATATCATCATACTGCATTATAAAGGACTCAATGAACCGGGTCTACATCAAGCACAATGAAAGTCCATCTTTGAAGAATTGACTGCAAAAGGTTGCAGAGCAAAACAAGGAAAAGGTTACAGACCCGGACGCTCATTTCAAAAACTACTAGAACAAGACGGCGAAACCCTAGCTGAGCTGAATGTCATTGCTGACGAATTCAAGAAGAAAACTTCGATAGAGGGCTCCAATGGTGTTGCTGCTAGGGAACAGACTCGGCAGAGAGTGGAAGCCGGAGGTGCGGTCCTTCGAGACTCTTTTTTGGGGCAAATAACTCATCATCTGCATAAGTCGGA